TTTCAATTCTTGACTTGTTTGCCGGCTCTTTAAGGCAACGACTCGTTTCGTATGCGTTTCGTACGCGTTTTTAATATGTTTACGCTTTGCTATGCTGGGTCCTACTACGTCAAACCCATAATTTCGACACAGCGTACCGAGAGTGCAAAAGACGCTTATTTTGGCGCTGGAAATTATATACCAAAACAGCAAATTAAGAACGTATATATTTTTAAAAGCACATTTTATTTGTATTTCTTGGCACTTCTCTTATTTTAATTCATCACATTTTTTACGGATCTGTAGGACGTGCAAAAAATATCCTGCAATCTAGCGAGTTTATTATAAACCTTGTTTTTTTTTTTTTGGTTTTGGTTGTTATATTGGAAGGTATTATTATTATTTGCAGCAATTGTCAATAATGGCACTGATAGCGACTAACAAGTTTTCACTGTGAAACTATATAAAAAGTATTGATTAACAAAGCAAAGGTGTGAAGTTGATATCCTTCGCTGATATATATCTTCATATCACTCGTACGTGAGTACGTCAGTACGTGAGTACATGCCATATATTTGTGCATATATAGCAATGCAGCAATATAATAATGCAGCAATTTTCTTTAATTTTTCACAAAATAAAATAATTATCGCAAACAGTTGATTTTTCATCAGATAGTAATAATCACAGTGGATGCTATAATATTTGCACTTGGAATTATCACGCGTACGTGGCAGCAACCCAAATACAACAGGCAGAGCTGAATGCGGTAATATCGGCTAACCATACGGATCATTGATCTTAAAGCCGGTACGGTGTAACTGTGCTACATGTTCCGTACAATATATGGGCATGAATTTGTATGTGCACTTGACTAAATAATATTTTATTCACATATATGTAAATATATTTATGATTGTAATATATACATATGTATATATTTTTACTATATCTACAATAATGTTTACAATAGCACCTGAAGCTACTAACTTGAATCTCAATCATATGCCAACCCAGACCTAAGACTGACTTAGCACAACACACTGGAGCACAGTTGAGTGGAGTATAGAGCAGTAGAGTGTAGCACAGTGCAGCAGTGTGGTGCAGCGGTGCAGGTTGAATTGAATGCCGCCTGCATAAGCAAGTAAAGAAATTGCCGTACGTAATATCTATAATCAGGTACACGTACATATAATATTGTCTAAAGAACTGTTATTAGGATAATCAAATGGGAATTATCGTGCGAGGCAATCGAACGCGCTGGCGTTCAATTCACAGCCACATTGTCCAGCGTTCAGTATTCAGTGTCCACTCTCTGTCCATATGCGCACAGGAGTGTTTCCCTTACATAAGGTGTCTTTCTTTATATCTTTTATTTTGTTAACTTTTATGTTTTTTGTGTTTTTTTTTTTGCTTTATTGATTGCCGTTTGCCAGTTGAATCGTTCAATGGTTCAATCGTTGACGTTGCTGTTGACGGTAGATCATCTTTTGTGGCTGCCGTAGCGTAAAAGAGTGCATAATTTGGTATTATTTTGTTTAGGTTTTTTGTTTTTTTTATTTTTTTTTTCATCCTCTTCGGTGTTTTATGTTCAAATTGTAGGTTATTTTACATTTTGTTGAATTGTTTTATACTTGCTGCATAATCCATCACAATTGTTCGCCAATGCGCACCTCAACCGTGGGGATTACTATGGTCCGGTCCACCATACGGTTGCAGTTGCAGTTGCAGTTTATTTTGCTGCTGTTGTTGTTAAAGCAGATCAATGTACTCTAAATTTGTCTTCTTCTTAAATAAATTATAAAATGACTTGACCAACTTTATTTAGCTTCTACGGCGTTTTTTTTTTTGAATTTGCAGTTATTTTAGTATAATTTAGAGAGTTTTGAATTATTCTTAGAAGTTCTATTTAAAAGAACTTCTTACTTACATAAAATTATTACAAATAATATGAATTAGTATCAACTTTTTCAAAACCATTCACAGAGCTTTATAAGTTGTATTTATTTTATATCTTATTCCGCATATCTTATTATCATATGAGACTATTTAGTTATAAAAGGGTCAAGGGTATACACGATCTTTATAATCTATTTTCCTATGCGTAAAGAAAGTGTTATATACAACCCTAAACTAGTTTAAATGACAACAACAAAACTACAAATATTTTTTAGTCCAAAGACTACAGATCTTATTCGGTTCGGTTCAAAGCAAACTGAAGGTACTGAATTCATTTTCTAACGTATCCTAGGCTCCGTCTGCATTTTATAAAATATGCGGCTATCAGTGACATTTAATCCAATCTCATATATATAAAACATAAAACCATCCATCTGCCTACAATTCTGAAGAATGTGGAATCAAAATGGCTTTCTTAGCTAATTTGCGACCACTCAATCCTTCTTCTACTTCAACTAAGACATAAAAAGCTTTCTAACCCATTTTGAAGGTACAAGGGTTCTCTTACAAGTCTCCTACTTTGGTTGACAGTGTTCAGAGATCTTTGATTTCGAAATATGATACAATTTTCTATAAAAACATCACTTCTTCTATAACACATTAACTGTTTTAAAGTGTCATTTCTATTTAATTTTTTTTTATTTATTACTTTGAAAGATATTGAAACTATCTTTTTTAAGTATATTCCTTTGATAATCGTAGATAACAAAATTGAGTTTGTAGTCTTCATAACACCGCTTAAATATCATGAAAGTTCTTTTTTGAAAGGCAAATAGATCCGTTATGAACATATATTCCTATTCGATATAAAGTATACCTAGACCACTCTTGTCGAGCTAAGTATTTAAGGGTAAATAATTTCTATTGTTAAGGTCCACTAAATTCTTTTATCAATGTGATATATCTTTCTATTAAATTGGCTTTTATAAACTGTGATTATAAATATAAATGTCATTCTTTAAATATATGAATTGATAAATATCAGAAGCAGTTTGTCTGTTAGAAGACAAGCTTTGAGTGTGCCTATTGATGTAGCATGCAATGCTTTAATCGAAAGTTTGCGGATAACGGATAGACGGTAAAAGAAATAATAATCCATAGTGGAAAGATACCCCCAAGTGGGTGTAAGGTAATGCGAGTAAGGCTGTTTTCTTCCTTCTCTAACTTATAAAAAATTTTCTAGTATAACTAACCTCAAAATATGATATACTGTTCTTAAAGGAATCTGGTATTTTCATAATAGTATGAATTTTATATTATGTCCCAACTGATTCATACTGCGCGGATCTCCAAAACTGAAATTACTGTAAATTTTGATTTTTTATTAAAATCAAAACTGAATTACTTGTGATTATGTCTCAATGAACGTATCTATATTTATCTTCATTGCTTTCCAGTAAACTTATACAGCCCACAATAATTTTCTCTAACTGTTATATCCTAAAATGTGAACTACTGAATATTATAAATATCAAAATTTCAAGTAAATAGCTTCTTACAGGCAAAGAGTAAATTTTTCGGAAAAAATTAATATTAAACTATGAGTACTTTAAATGATTTAGAGGAAACTGAAGCACTTAAACTTTGCACAAAATGCATATAATTCAAAACTATAGAATATAGGTAAATATCTTTCTATGTGAAGCTCTGAATTTTGAAAACAATTTTCCGGTATCGAACCTATCCTGAGGGTAGGTAGAAGGCACACACTTTACAAGAAAAATGTTTGCCATAATAATAATAATAGCAGTAACTGTACCCAACCATACGGCAGCCATAACCGCCGCAGCCGCAGTAGAATTATTGAGATACAGCAGCTGTAGAACTTTACCAGTTGATGGCGAATATTGAACAATTTATTTTTGTATTTAACTCTGTTTGTGCCTTGACTTCGGTTTTTACGATTATTTTGAGATTTTCGCCCAAATCCAATAACTTTAAACACATAAATCTCACTTGGTGTCCGCTAAATTATATACTTTATAACATTAGGTTACACTTTGTTTTTCCCTATGAAACAACAACACAATCCGTACGTTAAAACAAAAAAAAAAAACAAACCACAAAAAAAAGTAATTCTTAAGCCTAAATAAAAGTTTATAGCCAAGAAGCTAAAAGCTAAGCGAGGACAAAATATTATCTCTGACGGTTTTACAAAACTATCGTACTCGAGATCAATCGATCGGATCTGTATGACTTAAGCGCTGTGCCATGATCGATATTTTTCGCTTAAGGATAAAGTTTAACGCGATTGTTTATGATACAAATTAAACAATTTATGACAATACAAGTACGGCAACGACTCGAAACGGCAACCGTACATGAAGCGGTACGTACAAGTAGCGCCGACAAGTAAAGCAATTGTCTCAGCTGAAAGCAGCAGTTGCCGCTGTTGTATGCAAAATAAATGCGCTAAATTGCAACTTAAAAAGGGAAACAAACAATGCGAAAACAGACTCAATTGAAGTCCTCTCCCAGCAAAGCAGTACGGAATACAAGGCACAGAATGCAGATACAGAAGCTTTAGGCGAATTTGAGTTGTGTGGTGCGATCAATTTTCCTACACATACACGTTCAATAGTAAGTCAAAGCGGCATCCCCTGCCACTGCCAACTGAAGTTCTGCAAAGCCCCTAAAATAGGTGTGCTTGCGGTGCTCTTGCATTACGCATACTTTCCCTGCTGCATTTACTATATCGAGTGGTGCGGTGCATTGCGTCAACCGCTGCTCGGTGGCTATAAATTATAACACTCACTGTTTTTTTCGTACAATGTTTTTGCTGCTTTTAGTGTTTTTTTTTTTTTGGTTTACTTAAACGCTCATTTATTATAAATTTTATCGCTTCTGGTCTCAATTCTTTTATCGGCGTACTTGACTTTACAATTTTCAACCGAAAAAGTGTAACAACAACTGCAGCAACTACAAATTTTGTATATAAATATTGCACATAATTGATTTAATACTTTCGATTATCAGTAATTTATATAAATTTTTTATTTTATTAAATTTGGCAATTTTGTTAATAAAAGTTTATTTTGTTTTTCTTTTTTGCTTTATTGCAGCATCCCGTATGGCATCATCGCATACATCACCTCAAGTGTGTCGGCCCCACTTTCATCCGCCCCTGAGTTCATGGCTTACCAGCGAACATAAATCATTTGCGCCTGCCAGCCCATGGGGTAGTCCGTTTGCATGCCCTCAAGATCCGCAAGTTGACCATAAGGTCGGACAGATTGGCCAAAGTCATCAAACGACAACGGGCCAACATTCATTTCCGTTCCCACCAACACCGCCAAAGGATTCAACACCCGATTCAGTACAAACCGGTCCATCGGAATATCAGGTAAATGAATGTTTTGTTGAGAAAGGAAGAAAATATTTGCAAGAACACAAAGATTTTTGGTGAATTATGTTTATTGTTTTAAATTGGGGGAAGATTAAGATTGGTTACTTTTATGCAAATTAAGGAAGCATATAAATAATTTCATTTAATAATAAGGATACATATTAATAATTTTATAGCAATAACAGAAAAATACAAGTAGTAAGACAGTATGATTATTTATATACAATAACTAAGCAATTTTAACTCAAACTTCATAATAGAACAGTAATCCGTATTCAGTTCAAATATGATCTATATTTAAAAACTAAATAAATACGTACGTGAACTATGCATAAATAAAAATAAATAAAAGTGATGTGGTTTCGTAATTATTCACCTGATCTGAATATTGAACTTAAACTTGTGAGATACTCTTAACAACCTCAGCTAGTTTAACACGACTGGTATCAAATATACGTTTAGTACCTTTATATGGCTCGCGCTAAATCGAAAGAAGTGATATTTTCATTCAACAGATATTGTACGATTCATCAACAGACTTAACCTGTCCAGGTTATCGTAAGTGACTCTCTCTAGAGATAAGTACACTTTTAGTGCTTCCATATGGCTCCCGCTAAATCGAAAGAGTTGATATTTTTATTCAACAGATATTGTAAGATTCATCAACAGACTTAACCTGTCCAGGTTATCGTAAGTGACACTCTCTAGAGATAAGTACACTTTTATAGCCTCCATATGGCTCCCGCTGAATCCAACAATTTGATAATTTTATCCAACAGATATTGTAAGATTTATCAACAGACTTAACCTATCCAGGTTACTGTAAGTTACTCTCTGTAGAGATAAGTATACTTTTAGTATCTTCATATGAATTTCACTGAACAGAACTAGCTGTAGATGACTCTACCCACGACATAGGTCGTGATACACTACTGCATGTGGTAATATAGGGCTGTACCATAAATTCTTAGTTAATTTTTTAATGGAAAAGTTGTTTAGAAAAAGAAAGGATAGATTTCTTATAGAAATCTATAGATAGATTTCTTATAGATAGATATGATTTTAGAGAAACATCTATCTAATCAAAGTATTACTATTTTGAAGCGCAGAACTTAAGAAAAATAATGAAATTATAGGACTCCGAATATACTCATATACTAAAGAGAGCAATAAATTAATATTACATTTCACATTTTACTTAATACTTTTAAATTTATAAATTTTTTTTTTTGAATTGCAGGCAGTTGTAAATGCCTTCATGCATCAAGCACAAGTTAGTGGCGCTACCTCACTATCAGATGCAAGTTGTGCGTTGGACATAAAACCCACAATACAAAATGGCAGTAGCGGTTCACACAATGGCAGTCAACAGTCGTCGGCGCCGAAACAACGTGAAGGTACTAATAATACAAATAACAACAATAACAATAATACAACAAATAATCACAATGCACAAAATAACAACAATAATGCCGGCAATACAAATTCAGCGCTTAACGGCAGTGGAGGCCTATTTGACAACACAGCGCAAGCGCATTATGCGAATAGTCTGGGTAATTTAGGTGGTTGTGCTGGTGTTTCCGGTGTTGCTGGCAGCACGGGTAGCAGCAGCACTGGCGGTGGCTATGACGGTTCATACGCCTCATATGCGGTACATCATCATGCTAGCGCGGCGGCAGCGCATCATCAAGCGGCCGCTGCTGCTGCAGCTGGTATGTTTCAAAGTTCCTCCGCTGCAGCTGCGGCTGCAGTACGACACAGTATGTCCGGTGGTGGCCATCATGGTCATCACGGTGTGGGAAGTTCGGGTGGTTTAGGTGGTATCGGTGGCAACAGTCAAAACAGTGTAGTCGATGTGAAACCGGCGAGAACGAAACCAAGGACTAGTGCTGGTAAGCAAGACAAAATTTGACGCATTCTATTTTAATGTAATGGTGTGGGTGAATACTAACACTATTTTTTTTGTTTAGATGTTACACCTAAAATGTGTGTACTCATTGTTTTATATATATATATGTATTATTTTTCTGTAATTATTTTAAGTTATTATTATTTAAAATTATTGAAATATTTATTTGTGATTATTTTAATGCACTTAAAGCACATATTTGATTTCAATTTATATAGTAATTTTTGTTTAATTTGTAAAAAAAAAATGATTAATTTAAGTTCGTGGGAATTGGGAAATTTGTATGACTTTGAAGCCTAAAACAAACTCTTAAGTCTATAAGTTAAGTCAATGCTGTTTAGGTTATTTTTGATACTTAAACATGATCGAAGCCCTTAAGTTTGTTCCATACACTGCGCTTAAAATGCAACCCTAGGCTGATATGTTATCGTCTTTATTCAAAGCCACGTTTAAGTGCGTCGTCTGTCGTCAATACTTCAACGCAATTCAACGCAAATTTGATGAGAATTCATGTTAAGAAAAAAATCCGTGCGAACCATCGTGAAGTCACTACAATTTCTCTCCCCAACGTCTTCAATATTCGTAATTACACTCCCCCGTCCGTCGTTCGCATAATTCGCTGACATAAATTCACACGACAAACTCTTTTGCATACACGTATGCGTCAACGTCTTGACATTGCAACTTGTCATTGTTATACTTACGCTTACAACAACTAAATCTGCTCCGTTGTTGTTGTTGTTGTGGTTAATTTTTCGCTGTTTCTTTCATTTCTCCTCCTTGCTTGCTTATTTGTTTTTTGAATTTTGTTTTTATTTATTGCTGTTTTTTTTTTCCAGTGTTGTGTTTTTAATAATTTTGCATCTGACATGCGCGCTGGCGCGGAAGTGCCAATGCACCTGCTTTACTCTCCGGTGTGGCAGGGGCAGTATCCACCGGTTCAGCGTTGACTTTTGCTGCGCGCATGCGTGCTTAGTGAAATACATTAATTTCATTTCATTTACAACTTCTACTTTTTCTTCAAGTATCGCGTTATGAAGAAATCGGCCGTTTGTTTGTGGCATTACATTTTGCTCACATCCAATGGTGGAGAGACAAGGTGCGTTCGTAGTACTTGCAGATGCCAATGACTTTTCTTTTGAGGTAGAAATTTTTCGACTTCCCCAACGTGAAATTTGTATAATTTTGTATCTTAAAGATTATTTAAAATTCAATTAACTTGCAAGGAGAGTTAATGATGCAATTTCAAGTCGAAGACGAAGTGCACTTAACGCATTGTTGATATGTTAATTTCCACGATTAATTAATATTAATGTTTCATATATAAATAAAAATGTACCAAATAACTATGAGGGATAGAAGAAGAGCTAGGAATCGATGGCTGGATGCAGTAAAAACCTATTTAAGAATTATGAATATAAGAAAATGAAGAATGAAGAAAATACTCCTTTGTACTGAGGAAAGTCTGTAAAGAAGCTGTAACTCACACCGGGTTGCAATAGTTAAGGATGATGATGTGAGAGTTAAAGAAAACTAAAAAATAGATAGTAGTATTAGTCCGCAACGCATTGCTGTGAGGAAGCTCTAACTCACACCGGGTTGCAATAGTTAAGAGTGATGATGTGAGGGTTAAAGTAAACTAAAAAAGAGATAGTAGTTGCAATAGTTAAGGATGATGATATAAGGATTAGAGTAAACTAAAAAATAGATAGTAGTATTAGACCGCACCGGATTGCTGTGAAAAAGCTGTAATTCACGCCGGGTTGCAATAGTTAAGAATGATGATGTAAGGGTTAGAGTAAACTAAAAAAATAGATAGTAGTATTAGTCCGCACCGGATTGCTATAGTTAAGGATGATGATGTGAAGGTTAGAGTAAACTTAAAATGAGATAGTAGTATTAGACCGCAAAAGATTGCTGTGAATAAGCTCTGACTCACACCGGATTGCAATAGTTAAAAATGATGATGTGAGGGTTAGAGTAAACTAAAAAATAGATAGTAGTATTAGACCGCACCGGATTGCTGTGAAAAAGCTGTAACTCACGCCGGATTGCAATAGTTAAGAGTGATAATGTAAGTGTTAAAAAAAACTAAAGAAAAAGATAGTAGTATTAGTCCTGTAGCTGTTCATATTCTAAATAATCACAGTAAACTGGATTATTATTTAAGTATATTGACAACATTAAAACTTGTAAAATAAAAAAAAAGAAAAATAGATTCGAAGAAGAAGTTTCAGTTTTCTGATAAAGAAAATAAGTAGACTCAATAAATAATTTTGAAATTTAAATATAGTCTCTGTATTTCAATTACGTTAACGTACAGAAACCCGCTATAGTCCGCACCGGATTGCTATAGTTAAGGATGACTATGGATGGGTTGTAGTAAACTTAGATAGAAGTACTAATATTGATCCACACGTTATTCATATATATAAGCAATATAATATAAAGTTTCAAGTAAGCTTAGAAAGAGATTCTAGTATTGGTCCACAACGGGTTGCAAAACTTATAAATGTTGACGGTTAGGCTATAGAAAGTAAGACGGAAATACTAATATTGACACTGTTTCATGCGGTTAAGCAAGATGCAGGTATCAAGCTAAAAAGCTTCCTTTTCTATGAAAATATTTGATGAGTTGAATGAAGGAGGTTGAATTAAGGAGAAGAAAGAAGAAAAGACAAACTTTTCAAGAAAAATTCCTTTAAAATCTAGTAAAACTATTTTTAAAGCGTCCCAATAACTTCCTTTCTGTCATCTTAAGTTTGTTGCCTTAGAATATGTTCTATAAGAAATTTCTGCTCCCAAAAATTATAAAAACAAGTAGCAATAACTAAGCAATGTCAGTGTTCCAATAAAAAAAGCAAGAAGAATCCTTCCTTCTTTGGATAATGATATGATAAGTTGAATAAAAAAGGAAGAAAAATTTAAAGCAAATTCTACAAGCTAATAAGTTAAGTAATGGACGAGGAGAAAGTGAAAGGAAATTCTATAGAAAGGGGAAAGGGGAAAACTAGGAAAACTAAATTTATCAGAGCCCTAACATGTTTTATTCACTTATTTTATTCATATTCGTACGATTTTATATCTTATAATATAATTTATAAGAAGTTTTTATTAAAAAAAATTATAAAAACAAGTAACAGTGACTAATCAGTGTCAGTGCTCCAAATAAGAAATTTAATTAAAGAAATTGACTAACATATTCCAAATGTCTCACATGCCTTTATGAAAATCTCCTAAGAATTTACTATTCAAATGCCTTTCCATAAAACTTTCCTCACTAAAACCATTTGTCTTTTCGCACATATTCTCTACCAGACAGAGTTGGAAAGAAAAGATACAACAAAATGATTTATTGAAACTGCAATTTCGCATATAAAACAAATGCAATGAATTATTTGCCACTACCTCAGCTTCGACTGCGACTGGAACTGTGGCTTCGCCTTCGACTTTTCTTGTTACTTCCTTGTTAAAATTATTGTACGTGCGACTGAATTATTTTGCAAATATCATGAGAAATAAATAAAATTTTCGCAGAAAAGTTGCAAAAATAAAAAAAAGAAACTTAACAAAAATATACGGGTCTTCTGCAGTGAAGAAGAAATGAACGAAGCCGCTAAAGAGTTTGATGCGCATATTAAATTTCCGCATATTAGCATAGTAGCACACTTGTATCTCAACCCAGTACATTGTTCAAGTACGAGTATCTTTTTAATATGTAAGATATAAAAAAGAAAATATATACTTTTTTTTAATTTATAATAGAAACGTTACTTTTATTATATATGGTATTGTATATGAATATGCCTACCTTTGTTTGTGTATGTAGGGTGTATATGCACATTAGTTTAAAGTTTTTAGTTTTGGATTTTTATATATTTTTTTGTTATATTCTTCTTCAATAAGTCAATGCACAAGTGTTTAATTTGCACCCAGTATAGCTTACATAGAGCAGCACAATTTAGTGTAAAAATCTTGAAATGCACAAAGCATGTTTTAAAAAATTATATAAAAAATATTAATTTAAATAAAATGAATCAATCATATTTAACAAATTAATATTTTAAAGAAATATTAAAATATATTAATTATTAGCTGTCATAGTATCCGTTTTCAATGTTGTTAAAATATCTGTTAATGATTCTGTTAAGACAATGTGCAGAGCTGCTATTTAACATAAGTTATGTTGGCACGTTTGTTGCTTGAGTCTACTGTTGATTAATACCCCATGCAAGTTAGTTAAAAGTAACAAAAATATAATAAAAAAAATTAATTATTTAAAAATTTATTAAAAAAATTAAAAATATTTAGTTAAATACTTTGAACAATTAAAAAAATAAAAAATCTTAAGCATAAAATTTACATTTGACAAAATGTTGCAACGTTGGTTAAATTGCTTTGAAAATGTTGACAATGATCATGAAAATTAAGCAAATATTACTACCAAAATCACCTACTGCTGCCAAGTAATAAAATGTATATTTCTTCACCGGCCTACAGCAGACTCATACATACTGTATTCATGAGCAGATACAAAACGTTTTCATGTGAATCCGTAAACGGATTCAAATTGAATATAAGAAAAACCACAGACTGTAGAGGCAACACAAGTCAAGTGACTTATAAGAATTGCCTGCTGCCAAGCATTTATTTTATTATTTGGGTGACAGTTCATTTTATTTTATTTTATTTTGTTTTTTTTTTGTTGTATTTTTACTTCATGTTCAGTATCTTTTTCAACTGAAATTTTTTTCTGCGAAGTCTGCAATTGTCTCTGATTTGAACCTTTTTTGTTGTACCATAAAAACTCAGACTGTGACTTCATTGCAGGTTTTATGTTCTTACAGGGTGTTTTCAGTTATTCTGTTATTATTGTCGTACACATGCAAAGGCTCATTCTTTATCAATAGCTTATCGTTGTGCGATAAGTTTCTGAGGCGCAAGAACATGTGTTGTTACTGCAAGTTGCAGATACATTTGTGAGATACACTAAACATACTGCT